TCTCTCTCTCTCTCACCCCATCTCTCTCTCTCTCACCCCATCTCTCTCTCTCTCACCCCATCTCTCTCTCTCCCTCATCTCTCTCTCTCTCTCACCCCATCTCTCTCTCACCTTATGGGATGTGGTACAGGTCCTACATAGAGAACATTGCCTTATAGGATGTGGTACAAGTTCTGTTTAGAGAATGCTTTCTTATGGGATATGATGCAGGTTCTTTGTAGAGAACCCTTCCTTATGGGATGCCCATTGTTATCCTTACTGTAAGGTTATAAATATATACAATACAACAATATATTTCTTTATTTAGGGTTTATCTTTGAGTGTTACTTTGTCAAGTATTCTTCAATAACGATGGTCCTCAATGCTCCTTATAAATGTTGTTGCTCTTCTGTATGCCCTCTACAATCTCAGGGGTATCCTTTCATTGACAGAAGCGGCTCTGGCACTTGATTGAAAGTTCTCATGTTTTCAGTTTCCTCTTCTTTCTATTGGCTCTTTCATTATTATCTCCATTTTCCAGACAGCTACCCAACAAACAGAACATTTTTTACGTCACTGGTTTCCACCCATTGTAGTTTCGTAAGTGTGAGCAGACTTTATGAATCGATGCCCCTCCGTCCCAGGTCTTATTTGTTGAAGTGCGGAATGACAGACATTCACACATAGTTCATCCATCCACCAGAAAGATTACCGGGACAGCCAGCTGAGAACTATCAAGCAGTCATGGATTCTCGCCTTGGTTTTATCTTTGTGCTTTCGTTGCTCTTCTTAAGGATTAATTTAACCTTCAGTTCTATAGATATAAAAGGTATGTAATATGTCATACGTCATTTTATATGTTTTTTTTCCCCCCTGTGTATTCGAAATGAAGCGTGGCCTCGCATTCCACATACAGCCAAAAACAGGGGGGCTTTATACTGACAGACCTTGAAGATGGAAAAATAATGTTGGTTGCCGATAACAACCGGTTACTGCACGGTGGATCTTTGCAGGTTATGGAAAACGGTGTTATGGACATTTTGGCTAAAATCTAAAATTCTCAACAGACGATTGAGGAATAGAAATTAAAAAAAATGGATGCATATCCCTCCATATGTGGTATATATAAAACCGCAGCAAAGCAAAACTGGAAAAAATTGTTTAAGCGCACTACTGGTAATGGGAGATAAATACACTGAGTGGCCAGATTATTATGACCACCTGACGTTTGTAGGCACATTAGCTATAATTTGGCGCTGAAGTTGCTAGAGGGCCAGACCATTATAAATAGGGAAGCGGGTTGTTTACCACGACAGTAGAAGTGATTTGTTTCTGAAGATACGGGGAAACAACGCGATTTAACAGCCTTTGAACGCGGGATGATTGTTGGCGCTCTGAGCCATGGAGCGAGTATCAGCAAAACACCAGAATTTGTTATATGTTCAAGAGGTGCTCATTGTTAAAGTGTTTAAAGACCGGACTGCCAGCCGAAAATCTGGGTCTGAACGTGCAAATTGTGGCCGTCAGCGACTAGTCAATGTTAGGGCAGAACGGGGGAGGGGCAAGATTGGTACAAGACAACAGAAGGGCAACAGTGCCGTGTCAGATTCCTCGCATCACTTTTCATCATCTCATGGAGTCACGAGGCTGCCCAACAAAGTGCTGATGGGATGGTCATAATAATCTGGCCACTCAGTGTATATGTGTGAGATAGGTGTGCTGTCTCCTTGACCTTGACTACGTTAGGACTATTGGCAGTGCGAGAGCAGAAGTTACCGTTGAACAATTTCATGGAAAAAGGAGAATGACTCACTTGGATGGGAAGATGGTCAATCTGCGTGAGAAGTGCTCCAATGTCCTAAGTGTCAGCGATGTCCAGATCTTCTCAACTCGCTGATCTGAGGTGGTGCGGAGGGAACATCCCAAAAGGACCTACTGATAGGTCCATATACCGTCACCAGCACTCTAGGACCCAGCCGTCAGGATATCATCAGGGTAGCATACCCCTTCCTATGGATGTTCCCTCCGCACCACGTCAGATCGGTGAGTTGAGAAGATCTAGACATCGTGATCGCTGACACTCTCCCACTGCCAATAGTCCTAACATAGGACTTCCCTCCTGGTTGTAGCGCTCCTTAATTATATATATAAAACTGCAACTGCTACTTCTGTTTTACCGTGTGTTGGATGCCTAATGGGGTATTATTACTGATTATTGGAAATTGCAAAACACTGCAGACTGTCAATGGTTGGTTGGTCATGTTGGGGGTTGTAGTGTTCTATGTATGAAGTGTAATAGAATTGTATTATGATCATGTCCAGTGGTCGGTCATGTTGAGGGTTGTAGGGTTCTATGTAGAGAAGTAGAACAGAAAAGGGAAGGAGCGCAACTGACTGTCACAAGGTGTATGGATGGGAAATGATCGGGGACAAAAATTAAGCGAGGTATTGGCACTTACGTGTGATGGAAAGAGAGGGCACAAGGGTGGTGTAAACTTCTGATGGAGTCGTGGGTCTCGCCGTATGGGTTGGGGGGAGTCACAGGGGTCGGTGTGCTGCCGCAATCCTTACGCGGACTCCCGGTTTGGAAACCGATGTGGGAAGGAAACAAGGAACAATTGTTTAGAATTTCTGCACATGTGTGTAACTGGATGTGAACTCTGTACTCACCATGTGTTCTATGTATAGAGTGTAATGGAATTGTATTATGATCATGTCCAGTGGTCGGCCATGTTGAGGGTTGTAGTGTTCTATGTATAGACTGTAATAGAATTGTATTATGATCATGTCCAGTGGTCGGTCCTGTTGAGGGTTGTAGTGTTCTATATAGAGTTTTATTAGGGTTGCCACATGTTCGGCATTCACCTGGATAGTCCGGACACAAGATGTCCTGATGTCAGGCAGACAGGGGCAACACAAGGTCCTGGTGTTCCAACTTGAGTGCATGAAGGAGGCACAGGAAACGGGGGGATGCTGGAACTCCAGGAGCAAGGAGGTGTCTGAAACACAGGGTGCAGATACATCTTGAAGGGCACAGGGTTCTGCTTCAGGTGGCTATGTTGCTCACTATGTTTCCTCACTCTCTCTCCCCTGGCTATCTCTCCTCACTCTCTCCTGACTGTCTCTCTTTGTTCTCTCCCCTGGCTGTCTCTCCTCTCTCCCCTGGCTGTCTCTCCTCTCTCTCCTGGCTGTCTCTCCTCTCTCTCTCCTGGCTGTCTCTCCTCTCTCTCTCCTGGCTGTCTCTCCTCCCTCTCCTGGCTGTCTCTCCTCTCTCTCTCCTGGCTGTCTATCCTCACTCTCTCTCTCTCCTGACTCTCTCTTTGTTCTCTCCCCTGGCTGTCTCTCCTCTCTCCCCTGGCTGTCTCTCCTCTCTCTCTCCTGGCTGTCTCTCCTCTCTCTCTCCTGGCTGTCTCTCCTCTTTCTCCTGGCTGTCTCTGCTCTCCCTCTCCTGGCTGTCTCTCCTCCCTCTCCAGGCTGTCTCTCCTCTCCCTCCTCTGGCTGTCTCTCCTCTCTCTCCTGGCTGTCTCTCCTCTCTCTCCTGGCTGTCTCTCTTCTCCCTCCTCTGGCTGTCTCTCCTCCCTCTCTCTCTCCTGGCTGTCTCTCCTCTCTCTCCTGGCTGTCTCTCCTCTCTCTCCTGGCTGTCTCT